ACGGAACATGGCGGGGACTCGACCTTTTTCCCAGAATGCCTTGGCGAGTACACTGCAGCGTTCGATTATAATTACCTCATTTCGAGGCTTCCCTTATTGCAGGTAACACTGGTGGATTCAGGGAAGCTAATCGAACGCAACCATTGTTCAATCGTTCTTTACATTGCGCACGTGCAACAGACCACATTTCCATGTTGCAGCCGCGCGCGTCATGTTGATACATGCTTGCATTCATGTCGGAACCATGACTTTAGTCAGTGACTCGACTCCGCTAGGAATTGAGTATTACAAGGTTTAACGACGCCACCTTCTTAACTTTAAACACATAACTGAATATTGTTCCACGGGCGTTTCGCAATAGTGCGCCTCCAGTTGGCAACGCGTTAGCTAATCACAATACGCGAAATCTCTCAAATCTGTCTGCGCGTTTGGACAGGGTTGACAGATTTTGCGCATTGCAATTGGCCAGCTCGTCGCAAACTCTTAGAGGCGCACTCTCGTGAATCGCCCGAATTGGCCGCCTTTTTTTAGACTTCGTATACAAGTGAGCCGTTCAAATTTGTGGAAACAGCTGGACACCAGATTATTACTGATTAACATTTGCGCCTTAAACCGTGAATGAATTAAGTTGTCGCTACAGGTACTTACGACCGCCTCCTCCTCGTCCACCACGGCATGCATCTGAAAGGTTGGGGGAAAAGGGGAAAAAATACGTTTTAAAATCCTGTCTGCTGTATTTCAGCAGCCACAGTTTTTTTTAAGCCAGAGGATTACTTTTATTCAGAATAAAGGATGTGTCTGAGACAGGCGCCAAGAGCTACGGCTACGTCTATTGTCAGCATATCTCCGTATACTCCCAGTGGCCCGAAGATCTAGAGCACGGCAGATAAAGGATACAGCCATAATTTGATAACAGCATACAGTGTAATTCGTCAACCAGAATTAAAGGCCACTACTTCAGTGATACACAACGCTCTTGGAAAGGTGGTATGCGCCCGTTACATGCCTGTGTGCTCAATAAGGATTTTCAGTCACGTAGTTTTTGACGGTCAGCTTTCAATTTACGCCTCCAAAGACATGGAATATTACGTCATGTGAAAATCCTCTAGGGTGTCGTCATTTGCCAAATGAACGCGGCGCTCGTCAAGCTGCAGGATGTGCGGCGTCTAATCGGAGTCAGCGCGGACTGACATCCGGGATTCTCGTAAAATGACCGGTACTGCGCCGGTGAAAACAGTGATCTTGGCGACGTGCGCACGCACCAGCTAGTCCGAGGATCGGGTTGTACAATCTTTTCTTTGAACTGTACATATGTGCGCACTCGTTGCAGTTGTTTTCACCGGCGCGGTGTGGTTGCTACCCGTATTTTTGTGAAACTCCCGGATGTTCGCGCTGCCCCATATTGAAAATCACCAGTCTGTGATGTCCACAAACTAATAAAAAAGCATCAAGAAACGACATACATGTACCACCGACAAACAGACGAAATTGAACGCGGTAACCAAAGACGTTCATTCATGATTTTTGTAAATTAAGTACGTTAATCTGAAGTTTAAAAAGCATCTGAATAAAAATCTGCGATTTCTACAAATGAACTTGGCAGAAGAAGCCTGTGCCTTAGTTGGCACTGTGCTGAGAAAAAAAAAGTTGCAGTACATTCACAGAGAACCAGGGATGAAAAAGCATTTAACCCAATGCCCTAGTGGAGACGCTTACATTGCCGCCAAGCGGATGACATTTTTCTGTAACGTGTTGCATTAACTGTATCGCCGGAGAATCACGTAAACGCAGCCGGAGAAGACACTGTCCAATTATTAGATATTCAAAATGGACACGCGACAGTAAAATCTGAGACAAACAAAACAACATGCACAATTCCAAAGGGGCTGCCGAAGGAGAGTGGCTACTACTAGGCCTACTCGCAAACGCCGACAGGTCAATTTCTAGTGCTGCTTTCAACGCTACAGTCCTGCATAATAAATATCCGTAGATTATGCAGTCAACTTCAGGCATCAAGAGCTATAAAATGTTGAAAAAAACTTACTCGATGCTGGGAGAGAAAAAAGTACGAAATACAGGACGAAAGAAGCACAAACACTTGTCATCACTGCCATCTTAAAGTCTAGTTGTAAAGTGAACTTGCCTCTTGATTCGCTTTTATAACCACCGTGTGGTCCGACTCCGCCCAGTCAAGCGTGGCTCATTCTAGGAAGTGGTGTTGGGGGCATATTAGGATTTGGTTGGGAGGTAATTATGCGCTGACCAAGGATAAATTTTAGGTACATTTGCAATGCTGGTCCTCAACATGAACCATAATGTTGCGCGGTGACTGAACCCGGAAGCATGACGTCATGGAAACCATAATCAGTCGAGGAATCAAAGACTCCATCCCGGCAGAGTGGTGATTCCTGTCAGGCGATCTTATTGGTCAGAATCGCCAACCCCCAATGGACTCCAAACACGCAAACTTCTCGGCCTGCATGGAGCCTATTTGTGTCCTGTTAACCACCGACAAGCAATTATCTCACGCATGAAATCTGCATATGCGTAACTATATTTCCGACAATTCAGATTCAGAATTGGCACAGCTTCGTAGGGACATCAACCACGACTACTCCTCCATATAACTCTCACCATGAATATTGCAGAAATAATTCCCATACTCTCCACCACAATCTGGCTCGTGGCATCCTTTCGTTTCTCAGTTGCTGAGGATGTTCAATCTAATCATTTTCACGATCAGCCCTCTTCCCCGACTGCCTCGTTCCCACCCGGCCATCTGAAGCCTTTGGCTTCCGAGTCTACCCGACTCCCCGTCTCGGTCGTCGAGGAGTTCCCCTCCCCGTTCGAGTTCTTTCGCGACTATGTCTATCCTTCCGTTCCTGTCCTCGTCAGGCAGGGAGCGCGGCGTTCGCCGGCCTTCCGGAAGTGGACCGACGAGTACCTGAAGGGCTTGCCCGAGTCTCAGGAACTGATCCGTGTGGAGATGCGGAAGGTGGAGGAAAGACAGCTACCGATGATGGAGATGCCCTTGGCTGAATTCCTCGACAGATATCAAACCCACGATGAATACCTTGTAGCAAGAGTTCCAGACTACTTGAAGTAAGTGTAGGGACCTACACAATACCATGTCATCTAGAGAGCACTTTTTAATTCATCTTGAATGTGCGTTTTATATCTGACAAACATGAACAGATGCAGCTGAATCTGTTTCTGTGTACTGTAGTCATGCAATGGAAGCAATGTGTTAATCGAACGTCATATTTCAACTGATCAAGGGCTGTAACGTGATCTGTGATTGTGAAGTTTTTATTGATTCGTTTTGCCGATTGTCACCTAACACTGTTTTACTTTTACAACTATACAATCAGCAATGCTAAGGCGTTTCTTTTTTTTCCTGGGAAGAATGGCACAAGAAAAGGAAAGAAATGCCACAAGACTTTTAGACTGTATTCTTCCACTGTTAGATCTGTAAAAAAAATGACATTTTTATTTCTATTTATTTATTTATCTTTTAGGAAAGATGTAGTGCTTCCGTCATCTTTGCACTGTGCTAACATCACTGCCAATATGCTGGAAACGGTAAGTATGGGGACTATGTGGAAGACAATCCGATGCATTTAAAAAGGAAACGTCCTGAAAACGTTTGGTTTGTGACCTAAGAACAGACTGACGCGAAAGCTGATCGACCGACCAACCAAATCGATCTACCTACCAACCTACCAGCCAACCTTTAGTACCAGTATGGGACTTTACCTTAGAGAGAAAAAAAAATTGTCATCTGTTAATAAGACTGTATTAAAGCTGTTTAAAAACATTTAAAATTTTCTGTGCTTTAATACCTGGCAAATTGGGCGCTGTTGCTGTGGTTCCGGGAAGACATTATCAACGGATTTCTCTTCAAAACCCAAAGCTTGCTCACAGAAAGTATTTTCAGGAGAACTTTGTTAAGTGGCCGTGGCTTACTGTCACGATTTGAAACAACACCGAAAGGCAGCCGAATAATAGTAACGATATAAATAATACTATAGAGTACCGAATGTGACGTCACTGTGAACCAGAAAGTGCAGTGCAAACGAATGGAGTTCGCTCGCGTGTTGGTACACGCGCTGGTTCTCGCGTTAATGCCTTTGACACACTAATTGTGCGCGTGACGTATTCACTTCGGTACTCTATTGAGGGTTTCTTTAATACTTGTGTTGGCATCACACATGTTGCTGATGAAAACTTGCTGACTGTATCTGCACAAAAACAAAAATGCTAATAAATACCCTTTATACTAGCGAACCTAAATTGAAAATAGTGCTAAATAGGGATATTTCGTTTTAAAGGATTTCGTTGAAAACGTCTGTATTCACACAAGGCACAAGTATATACAATAAAAAGGCATTGCAACTGAACTTTTTTCAACAGATGCTGTGGCTTAGTAGCGGCGGGACCAAGTCTCACTTGCACACCGATTACGTCGACATCATCAACTGTGTGTTCAGAGGCCAGAAAGACTTCCTGCTTGTCAATTACACCAGGTACAGAGACCAGGTAAACAATTGTTCTGATCATCATCAATTCCAATATTGCGCTTGACTTTCGAGGGACGAGGAAAAGAGCGTGTACGCACGTGCACTGGGTTTGTGTTTTCCTCATAATTTGTCATGTTTACCCAAGATTGCATATCTCGCAGGTTTTGGCGCAAGAAATCCAGATGGTACTCGCATTATAAGGCCACCTCTGGGTCTGAAGGTGATCGGTGGTACCAGCTTGATGTCTGGGGATCACATTTTAAGTGACGTTCAGCTCAAAGGGGCTTATTGAAAACTGTAAAGTTTACTGTAAGTTTTGGTCGAAGCCACAATTGATGTTTTTGCATGAAAATGGCACGGCGATGTAGGTACATGTATCTTAAGTTTCTTATTAAAAAACAATAAACATTTTTGAAAAGTGTCTCCAAAGGAGCCCCGATTCTTTTAATCCAAACTTTAAAAAGTCCTCCCCAAAGACATTTCTCGCTACTAGCTTCGGCGTGTTTGGTGAAGTCACATTAATAACAGTGATTTTGAGCCATTCGGACGTACATTATTTCTCAAACTCATATTTCAAGGTCCCCAGTGCTCTTTTACAAGGGAAAAGGCATTGCCACAAAGCTTTAAATATGGCAACAAGTATCGATTATCGGTGTAATCTCACGAAAAATCTTTGTGTAGATCGTATACGACCATCCGGAGGGCTTCTACTCAAGTGTAGACGTCGAACGAGTCGACTTGAACAAATTCCCCGGGCTTAGAAACCTGGAGTTTTTAGAAGCAAAAGTGGAGGCGGGAGACTGTCTCTACCTCCCCTTCAAATGGTAAGAACACACGCATTTAGCAGTTACACGTTTCCAATTTTCAGTATGACTGAAATGAACACCGTTCCTTTTCCATAATGTGCAGACCCGTGTCACGTTTTTTGACAGGTGTGTATTGCCTTACTACCTTTTCCTCGCATTGTAAATATAATGGTGTTAGTGGCGAGCCCACTGGGGGTAAACAGCACGACAAAAAGAAATCAAAAACACGTCCCTTGAAACGAAATTCCCTATTTTACATCACATCCCCAAGCCTGGACAGAGTACGATTCTGCGTGTCGCGATTAGAAGTAATTACTTAAATTGTCGGGAAGGGTGCATAAGCTATGGGTCGAAAAACTCACCAGAGGAGAATTCATCAGATTTAGACACAGACATGCTTCAGTACAAGCACAGTTTGTCCCAGCATTGCGGTTTCCTATTTCGCAAAAATTCAGATGTTTTACAAAGTCTTATGTATAGACCCTTCCACTTATAAATTTTCTTCCACTAATCGGTGCGCATAAATGGCATGTGGAGGCAAAAAGCTTGAGCGGCCCATTGAAGATACACAGGGGCAAAAATTTCAACATCATTTGCTATCTTAGCCTATACGTCTCTTTTCACTTCCGTCTTTGGAAAACCCACTTAAGTTATTCAGCTATTAATTTCTGGTGAGAGGAATTTTTCGGAGAGTAAAATCAAAACTTCCAAAATCCCGTTTGTTCGAAGCACACGAAAACAAATGAAATTAGACGGGTTCCGCTCTACGTGACCTACATAAAGAATCCTGTGTTTTGTTAGGGTACCGCTCACCATTCTCGGTCGACGACGGACAGTCGGACGTGGGATAATTCCAGAAATTAGGGGTCCAAAAGTGTGACATTCGTGAGTCCCTGATACTTCTGACCTTTGTTATTTGACATGAAAATATCAATGGGGTTGATTTCAGACTATTTTATGATTTGTTTTACAGGTAATTTACATTAATTCATCACTCTTGGAGTTTAGAAAATGTGTTTTGAACTTACAAAATCATATGTCAGGGGTGACAAAAACACGAAAAAAATGGAACCCTATTTTCCAGAATTACCCCGTTACGAAACGAACCTAACCCAGTCTGAAGCTATAGCCCGCAATTCACCATGCATTCAGCCTGCGATTCAGGGTAGTACGAGTGGTGCATGGTACCCAGAAATAGGTACCTACTGAATTGGACATGGTCGGAAAGGAGGCCTGTTAATTTTCGTTTGACCTCGTGCGCTCGGGGAGAGAGGAGAGATTTTTTTTTCTTTATTTAGTCAAGTTTAAAATCCTTTTAGACAAGAAAGTAAAAGCCATAATAATTTTAGAGGGTTGCCGAAGACAAAAGTGAAAAAAGTGCAGAAGCAGAGAGAAAATGATGTTGAAATTCGTGCCCCTGCTCATTCGCAATAGGCCGCTCAACTTAAACTTTTTGCCTCCACTTGCGATTTATGCGCATGCACACATGCATTGCTGTGTTCGAAAATATTCCCAAGTTGACTACGCACATGCATTGCTGTGTTCGAAAATATTCCCAAGTTGACTACTCATGATTATCTGGCTACCGCCCTCAAACTCATTTTTATGACATAACGGACAAATTTTTTTTTACCTCGGACAACAAAAACCCTGGCCATACGCACCTGGTTGCGTGCAAGTCTTGTACTTAACTTAGAGATAAGGTCTAGATCTCCGCCAGTTGCCAATACATGGCTTTATGTTAATACGAGAGACACGGACAGGCTCTTATCAAGTAACATCTTGATGTTTCCTGTCACCTTAAATCAAATGTATGTGACTTCCGTCTCAATGCACAATCTCCAGTGTCTTCGCTAACATGCAGGCTGGGTGTTACCCAACAGTGTCTTAGTGACTTTTAAATTCCTTTTGTATTAGGTTTTAGTAAGGTAATAAATATGTACTCAGACAGGTTAGGCTTTGGAAGTTGATAAAGACCCGAGCTAAAGACTCGTTAATTCCTTTAGTTATATTATCTAGCAAAATCTCAAAATTTCGTTCCTGAACGTTGCCGTTTCGCCATTTTGTGTGTTTTCCCTATCCATGTCCACGGGCCACCGTTAAAAAACTTGGTTCTCCCCAATCACTCTAGCCTACACAAGGTGAATTAAATGATACGAACCGGACCATCGACCGGACTAAAATGTCTGTAATTGCCTTTTGGTGATATAGAGGCTCACGGTCGTTTGGTGAGAAGAAAAAAAAACACAGTTGAAATTTGTTAACAACTGGATATTGCATTTTCTACATTCTACATGGATATCCTATTGAATTTGACCTAAACATAGGCCCAGTGAACATTAAAATGAATCACCCCGATAGGTTAGGTACGGTAATTTATCTATTCAAACGAGAGAGTTCAATTTAAGTACAAGCGTTTAAAACATGATGATTCTCTTACTCCAAATTCTCCTTGGCTTCAAAACCTACCATCGTTTGGTTACAATTTTAACTTCTATGATTGAATAATTACATAGTGAAATTGTGACGTCATGCCAAGGCATTGAAGAAAACGGACACGGGTTTACATCAATTTCTCAGGCCAGGGAATGAAGAGTATTGATATTAATTCGTCACAAATGGTTTAAAATCAAAACTCATTTGATGTGGTTTTTTAATATAATTACATGTATTCTGATACCACAAAATTTTCATCTGAAAAATAGCTAAGGAACAATAATACCTAGTTTTTATGATTAAAAATTTAATACATATCCAAATTGCGACATCACTTCAGTTGCTTGCTTGTGTTTTATCAAACATTTTACATAGCTTAAAACAGTGTAGCCATTCCTATTACCAGTATTAGTAGAAGGAAAGCCCGTCACGTGGCTGGCCATAAACAGTTGACTCTTTGCTGTAATCTCCTATGGTAATTGTCTTCAAACAATGAAACCGAAGATCCAGTATTATGACAACATGCCGCACAATGATCAGCCGGTGAATCCTGCTTCATTTTAAATTCACACACTATCAAACTAATATTAGTTATATTAAAAAATAACACTGCATGGTTCTATATTGATACTGTACGGTTTTCATTCATCACTTTGCACATTTTTAATGGAACACGACACGGTATTATTTCAGTTTTACACGGGATTATTTTAAAAACTATCGTGTGATCTAAGCTTCTGCATAGCTTAAGCATTGCCCCATGCATACGATATTTGGACTGTAAAAATATTGGGGTCACGCTCGTTGCTAGACAACATGTTGAAGGACAGTGTTTGTGGAACCTAGCAACCTTGTCAACCGCCTTCAAGGTTCAAACACTGTGAGAACCCTCTACATCCGCAATGTCTTTCTTTGAACTACGTGGGACGAGAAAATTGAAGGCTACGACGACTTCCACCTTCAAAGAAGACTAGTGGGTGAAGCCACATCCTTTTTCCGCCCGCATGTAAAGTGTTCAATCAATGTACGTCAAAGGAATTCGCTGAAGCGAACAGCAGAATGTGGACAGTTAAAGAAACGTGAGGCTCCGATCACGGGCAGCAGGTTAACATTAGACCAAGTTAGTCCAAGAACTTTGTTTGATTTCCGTGCTCGGGAAAGTATTCAAAAGGGCCACCCTTCGTTTCAAAATCTTATGCTGCCAAACTACTATCTTTTCAAAAGAGTCTAAATATCGCACGATTTAAATGCCACACGGGGTTAATTCAACAGCGGACGAGGTAATTTCAACCCTGATTTTGGCCTATAATCTAGAGCTTAAAGTGCGGCTGCAAAGAAGTTTTCGTAGACACGGGTTCTCTGCAAACTACATGTATTACACTTCTCCAATGTATATTCTGTTGGTTAAATTCATTGAAAAATGCACTTTTTAAACACTTAAAATTATCCATGCTTTCTTGGACAGCTGAGGGCTGTTGCAGTGATGTCATCCCAGGAAGACGTAGTTCAATGAATATATCTTTTCCGTTTAAATTGTGAACCCAAGAATTTTACTAGTCCTTTTTTCCTTGCTGTTGTATGTGGGCGTTAATCATCCTCTGGCATTTTGGCACTTTTTCCCTATTTTTAAAATATGAACGCGAAAATCTCACAATTAAGCACTGTATCGCTCCGCGAGAAAGACAGAATGGGCCATGGTTTACTGGAAAAATGCCATACAACAGTCCCGAGGTCAAATCCTGTACAAACTTCGAAATGATATAGTTTGGAAATTGTAGTGGATCCTCGCCGGCCGCGCAAGCCCCCCCCCCATATGCGGATGCTCGTGACCTGAAATTTGGAATTGATCACAACTCCCATCATGAAACAGTTCACTTGCTTTTCAGTGCCCCCCCCCACGCCTCCTGAAATTTCGCCCCTTTTACGCCACTCTCGAGCACTCATGCTGTTTGGTATAGTGAATGAGTAATATGGCATGTGTTTATCACGAGCAAAGTATTCAAGTATTTGACGAACCATGTTTCAAAGTCCAAAAGGGAATACTTGTTCATGTTCACTGCGATACACCATCAACTGCCGTAAACGAAATTGAAACAATGCCACGTAATTTCACCTTTGTTTAACAGGATTCGGTGTTGGTACCAATTTGTTACAAAATTGTTACAAAAAATCTCAGCATCTTGTGACACCATTCGATAAGAGTATGTAGGAAATTCTGCTGCAAACTTTCATTACAAAGTCTTCCTACACTTCAAGGACTTGAAAGTTAAAGGTGACGTTGAGTGAGGACATTCCCCCGACTGTCCCTGGACTCCAACTAAGGGAGCAAGTATTTTGACATCCTGTGGAGACATTAACTTCTCGAAGAGACGCCCCCTTAAACAATTTCTTTCCGTGTGATAAACGTATGCAAATTTGCAGCGAGGGAGAGTGAATTTTGCAAAAGAACCGGGATAAACGAAGTTTACTTCATTTAACCGCGGTTCATTGTTTTCCCGTTCAAGTTGCTTGGCACCGCTTTCCGGATTTTTGTTCCTTCCCTTGAACTTGAAAAGCTCACGTTCGAGGGTGAGTCAATGACCGTATCAAGGCAGACCTTGGCCGTTTTCCAATACTCAGCTTCGGCTCCGTCGGAGCTTCAACTGTTTTTTAACTAGCTGACGTTAAAGCTGTAAGCGCAGTAATTAGTTTAAGAGTGCCACAAACCATCAAATAAGATGCAAGAGAGCCAGAAATTACAGTAATCCAATTGAATTTAAACTCTTCAGGCCCACAATCGGGGATTGGTTTTGGGAACGAAGCCTCCGACGGAGCCCAAGTCGAGTATTGGAAAAGGGCCCCAAGTTACCAGCTACTGCCACAGACTTCTGTGTAGCCGCTGCCAAGTCATGAGACACGGTCACGGTTATTTTCACTCATGGAACACCGCTCGCTCTACAGAAGTGCGCCCTCACGTCACACGCGGGATGGTTCCAGTCACGGCCGGCGGCCGGCGGCCGGCGACCGCGCCGCCAGAGCAATATAAGACTGGTTCTCTGCCCTTTTCAACGTTCTTAGGTGATTGTTGTTGTTGTTTTAGTTCAGTATATAGGCAGATGAGCAAGGTTTTCTCTTTATAGTTTGAACAGAAAAACTTAGGATTGGTCAGTTTTTTCCTGAAAGGAAATGTTATATAAAGTATACCAATCATCAACTAAAGAGAGAAATCAAAGTTTTTATTCATTTAAAAAGACAGAAAGTTGTACAAAATACGTTCCCGATGACGGAGTAAATTTCATCTCATGGGAACGTCCACGTAGAAAAGATTCCTTTTTGCGATGGATGGATACGGTCATGCATAGATGGCAAGCCTTTCCAAGCAAGGCCAGGTTGAAATATTTGATCAATGATCGGTGAAGTCTTCTGATGCAGTATACATGTAGTTTCAACAAATTATATACTGTGTTATCCTTGGTACAGGATTCATCAGGTGAATTCGTATGGAAGTAACGTCGCCGTCAACATGTGGTGGAATCACCAGGCCTACGTCGTACCCAGCCCGGAGTCCTGTGGGGGGGCCGATCCGGGGCTCTCGCTGGCCGATGTTCGCTTCTATTACCACGAAGAGCCAGACGCTTACAAACAGGCCGATCTCCATCCAGAACTGGCTTTTGTCCAGAACCCGTCGTGAGTCGCATCATTTCAGACTACATGTAATGGTTAAATTAACTTATAGCACTCATACAGTGCTGTACCCCTGCAAGGGGTCAGAAAGAGTTTCACATTATATTGAGGCACTGGTCTCTAGACCATCAGATCTTGTTTTTCTGTAGTTGCGCAAGATCCGCACTATTTTGCTCTCTACTATCATTTACTATCATTTATTAAGTATTATGCTGCCTTGAAGAGCTTGTAGTCAAGCGTCTCAACCAAGAATACAAGCACTGCACTTGGAAATAGTTGGGGATTGGTTTATTTGACTATGTTTCTGCCATTGCTTTCAGAGCAAGTTTGACTTCATTTATGGTCGCAGAAGAGACGGAATCGTTGACAGAGCGCCAGTTTCTGGAATTCATGGACATGGTAATCAACAACATATACTTTCTCAGACGTGTTCGGGTTTCTTTGTGTCGTTTTGAAATCTTTGTCAGTACAGCGTTTGGTAAAAATGGCTGACCCACTGCAGTCTTCGCGTGGAAAATGTCACACATTAGATATGCGATTGCCAAGACAATCGTTGTTTCACTGGGGTAAAAATGCAAAGACTTTATAAAAGTAGCTTTTAAAAGATGTCCAAAACGGCAATAGAGGCTATGCATGGCTGCCATATTGTGGGCAAGTACTTTTGTTACACTGGGTATGCACAAAGTAGGTTTCCCTCTGGGAAAAAAAGAGCTGTCCTGCCAGATGGCTACTGAGACAACCGTCTACATGAGAAGTTTGTGTGACAAGCTGGACCATGCCTTCTCCGTGTGGTGAAGCTTTATTGTCAGAATGACCACTGAGATTCTGTGATTTAAGGCACCCTTAAGCTTGTCCTCGTGATCCCATTTTGTTTTGCAGCATAGGCCTAATTAAAAAAAATTAATAGCAATATGTAGGCAATTCAAAATATGATACCTAGGATTTGGATTGAGTCCTAGTGACGGCCTCAAGTCAACAATTCTGTTGACAACTTTCGCAGGCCCGTTTTTCTCATTTTCGTCGAGTGACTTGCCTAATACGGTGGACAGTTTAACAAGGCCATTGGAAGCCACTATAGGTAGCGGCTGTACAGCCATTTCCCATATAGACGCACGTCGTAGCCCCAGCCGCAGTTGATACATTTTGGACACAGCCTTTGACACCCTCGCTCCCAACTTTCCCATTCTTTAGATATTGCCCGGGTTGGACCATGCTAACATCTGGACCGAAGAGGCTTTGGATATCACACATCAGGTAATTCTAATTCCACTTTAATAACGTGGATGGCACTGCAGTCTTCCAAGTTACAGATGAAAAAAGTTGTATTTAGCCTACTGCAAGCAATCTTTTAGTCAATTTCCAATCACAATATGCGAAAGGTTTGTAGGACAATAATATAGAAACACATCGACTTGTAAATAAGGGTCCAAAAAATGTCAAGCGACTGGTAATGATTGGTACGATAGTTTTCACGTCATGTTTTACTGTTGATCTGTACGTGGAACACCGCAACAAAACGGTGTTATCGGAGGGCCATGCCACCTCCTTTCACTGGGGTTAATTTGGAGTTATTTCATCATTGTTGGCGTTACTTTTAAGACCACCTGGTGCATTGTAACACTTGTAGGTGTTTAAAGTAACACCAGTGGTGTTAAAGTAACACATTTTAGTGTGGTCATCTGATAACAGTGAAGAAGAAAGCAATGTCTCTTTCGTGTTGACCTCCATCTTTCTTTTGATTGCTAATAAATTTTTCTACATTCCCTCTATGTGACAGATATTTCACATACTTGATATCAATGGCAACGGAAAGATAACACAAGAGGACTCGGAGGCTTTCCCTAAAGACATCAACAATGTAGGCACATTTACCTTTTTTTTTTTTAAATATGCTCCAAGCGAAAGTCATACTGCAACGATTGACTTACAATTTGAGCGGTGCTTATTTTACATAAAAAAAATTGATGCAACGGGCAATAAGTCTTCCATATTATTTTGTCGAGCATGTTTACTGCGCAGCATTAAAGGCACGACACGACGAAGAACTGTAAGAGAAACCTGCCTGTCTCGACCCTTCACTGTATTTTGTACTTCAGAAAGTCAAGCGTTTATTTCTACTTCGAAGAAAGAAAATGAGTGAAACTGACCTTGATTCGACTCTTCTTCTTTTTGTGATTTTCCCTCCAGTTTAACCCCTTTTTCATCAACCTTGGACAGAAGATGATGGTCTTGTGCGACATCGTTGACGGTCATATTTCGAAGCAAAAAGAGGTAGGTCTTCTGCGAATCGATGATACGTTGTTGTTATCAATGGAATTTAATTCACAGTGTTATTATGCATGGCATTAATTGGATTAAAATGTTATTCTTGCAGGAGACTTTGAGAAAGTTAGAGAAAGACAAAGTCCAAGATGCTGCAAAGTCGTTTCATAAACCTAGCAGCAAGACCAGACAGATGAACGATCAAATTCCCATGCCTAAACAGGAATTGTAATGTACAAATCTGAAATTTGTAGAAAAAGTTGAAAGCTTCAATTTCCTTCCACAAATGATTTTTCTATACGGATTAATATCGAAAGGAAGTCACTCTGAAACGTGAGTACATGCAATACAATGGGAATAATAGTCTTGCATTGCTCAGGTGCTGCAAATTCGGTATTTTTGTCCATTCACCCTTTACCTAAAATTAGAATGATTTAAAACCTTAAAACACAATATATCAGAGATTACACGTCTTAATTGTAAACCAATATGTCTTGCAATTCAGTTTATGTATTGATTTGTTCGTAATTATTGCCTCCTATCTTTTAATCCAGATTTCAATTTCAATATTATTTCCGCATGTCTATTTTTTTCAATAGCAATAAAAGCGAAAGAAATCAAGTTAGTGCGACATGCTTGAGAGTAAAGTTTTTGGGTGCTGCTGTTGCGGATAAAGTGCCTTCATCCTCACGTACTTTAACTGTCTGTGAATGACTCCCCTAGGATTTGCACACACTACACAATGTGCCCTCGACCCAGTGGGAATGGGCCGTGATAGATCATTCCCCTTTTCGTTTTGTCGATATCCACCTGTCGACACGTTCATGAACAACACAGGGCATTAGGGTTCATGAATGACTCAGGGTCCTCGACTTGGAAGCGAAACAGTGAAGTTCACTGTATTGCTTCTCGCCACAAAATAAATTTGTAATGGTACAGAGCATTTAGAAAACGTAGGTTGGAAGTTGCTGTCGGAAAAAATTGCTCTCGTGGCCCAGTGACCCGGGGGGGGGGGTATGGAGCGTCAAAAGTAGACAATCCCATTTTCTGCTAGTAGATTGCGTATAGCATTTTCATTTTCATTTGGATTCTAATTTAACAACTCTTGTGGCGCGTCAAAAGTGGACGACTAAAAACTTCAAATTCCCACTGGAAAATTTCTGTCATGCTCCAAAAGTGGACAACCCCATTTTCTCATTTTCTGCTGGTAGATTTTCGGTGTTTTTTTTTTTTTTTTTTAAGTTGCACCATTCCTTTTAAAAAAAAAACATTTTTTTGCTAGCAGAAATTTGGATTTTACTTTGACGACGGCGGGGTGGTCCAAAAGGGGACAAGTAGAAACTTGAAAGGAAACTTTTCTCCCTATGTTAAAAGGGAACGGTCTTAGGAACTTGAGATTGGCAACACCGGACCCAGAAAAAAATTTATAACGTGGACGACAGTTGGGAAGCGGCTGCCAGAGTGACGGTCCTCTGTAGTACCGCTAACTTGCGGAACTAGCCCATTAATGTTATTGACCCGCCGTCCGTTGACAGGCATCAGGTGTCATTTGGACATTCCCTTGCTGTCATTGGCCTTTTCCATGCAACTTGTATTTCCATCTCTATACAGCCGATTTTGTGGGGAAAAGATCGGGCCCTTTTTTACGTCAAGGATGTGAATTTTATAGGAGTTTAGAGGGGTGTATTATTCTAAAGGGAATTTTTGAAAATAATATGTCCAAGATTGACAACATTTATGAACTAATTATGGTGGAAGTTACCCGGAAAGGTAAAAGTGAACCAATTTTGTTTATCTTCAGATATAAGATTTGTTATACAATCCACCATCCATGCATTTCACAGTACATGCATATAATGACTGTTCTGGGCCGTCACTTGCAAGTTTGTCTTTTCATTGCGTTAATATCTCTCCACATTGTCAATTTGAATCATTTGTCTTAATAGTAACGACCCAGGCCTCTACTATAACAGCCCACTTGTATTTGATGACTGGAACAAAGATTTGAACGATAAATATTAAATGAAATCTTTGATGTCATATCAGTGACCGGCTGGTGTACTGGCTGAAGGATTCATTTTCTTCGTGGCTATCCTTTTTATGATTGGAATTATTAGCTGAATATGTGTTTTAGAATTTGTGGGATGTCAAAATTAATTCAGCTAGTTCAAGTTGCATTTTATTGTTTCCCATTTTACTTTCTCTATTTTCCCCTTTTTGAAAATCTTGGTTCACTTGATTAAACTGCACTTAGCTTCTTCTCTTGACATGACTTTTTCAATTCCAACCTTTTATCGTTCCAAAGCAAATTTAATTATACTACTGGGCATGGATACAATGGTTTATTAAAGCTAGCATCGTTTAGGGTACATATAACCATGCGCTCATTTATTTAAAATGGAAATTCCCGACGGCAAGCCGCCATCGTCATTCTAATTACACGGTGCGCCGGGAAGTTGTAAGTTTGCAGTATACCATAAAGGACTATCAGGCTTTGGACGGCCCCTTTCGTATTTGCAAGTTTCTCAATATCGTCCCCTATTTCCGAACTGCGACGCCATCCGTCAGACCATTGACCCTCTACCGTTAATGTAGGCAGCCCATCTTCCAAGACCGTTCCATTCTGAGCGTAGGGAGCACTGCGGTCGTTTCAGTTTTCAACTTGTCCACCTTTGGACCATCCCGTCGTTGTCAAAGTAAAATCCAAATTTCTGCTAGCAGAAAATTGGCTTTTATGAAAAGGGGTGGTGCAACTTCAAAAGTCCAAAAAAAATCTACGGGTAGAAAATGAGAAAATGGGGTTGTCCTCTTTTGGAGCATCAAATAAATTTGAATCGGGAATTTGAAGTTTTTAGTTGTCCACTTTTGTTGCGCCACGAGAGTTGTTAAAGTAAAATCCTAATTTTTGCTTGCGGAAAATTGCGTTTTTTGAAAATGCTATACGCAAAGTCTAAAATCCCGAAAATCTACTTGTAGAAAATGAGAAAATGGGGTTGTCCACATTTGACGCTCCATACCCGGGGTGACAATATTATTATGAAACCCTTTTGGGACCCCTTGAAGGGATATAAAACGCTGTATCACGCAACTTACGACTGTTAATGGCATTTTTATTTTGAAGTTTTGACAATTGTTAACATGGCCGTAAGTCCCGGGGATGGGGTGTGTATATACCTGAGGATGGGCTGTTGAGTTACCCGTCCCTCTTTTGTCGTAGTGAAAAAAAAAGAATAAGGCTGATCGTGAAGATTTTTTTCGGACTTCCTAACAACCAAAATGTATTCAGTAGCACTCAACATTAAGGGAGAAATCCTTTCTTATATAAAATTCTACAGGAATGTAATATGTATTAACATTTACATCTGTTTATATGAACATCGCCCCCAATATACTGTCATAGAGTGTCTGCACACCCCTGAGACATTTCCATGGCCGTGACAGTCTCCCCCGCCCCTCCACACACACACAGTTCCTCATCTCCCATTCCCTCCCCCGATTTCCAGCTCAAATTTACGCCACTAATTCTTAATGTAAAAAATCTCAATGTAATTCGAATCAAGGCATTTATGGAAAGCAGTTTTGTACTGATAAAGCTTGTAGGAAAGGTTTAATGCCGTTGACCCTATCTGTCGAATAGAGTGCATTTCCCCTTTCTTAAAACCTATTGTACGCCAAACCACTGGGCCGGATATTACTTTATATTTCATTTTGATATGTCAAAAATGACCCTTTACAAAAGGACAGCAAATTGGAAGTTATTTCAGTTTAATACATAAAAAATGACTCTTTACAGAAGGACAGAAATGAGGAAGACAGAAAAGCGTGTGCGTGCTCAATGAACCAAAAACTTCCCGAATGCAAATCTCTATTCTGTGCATGTGCAGAATACAGGTTAAACCGTCCTCGCTATCTTTCATTTTTCGTGTACTTACATATTTTGTGTTTGAAGGTGAATTATCAGCAGGCTTGCGAAGTGGCATTTTTTCCCTGTAAAAACGTACTTGACTTGGTATCGCACTGTGTAACTGTGACGACTCAATCTCTGTGGGCCTGCCGGTTATAGTGTAATTCGACAATTAGAAGCCATTACTGCGGTGGCATAACGCTCGTGGACAGGTGATACGCGCGCGTTAAATGCCAGGCTTCGACCAATAGGATGTCGTGATTTGCCATATGTACGCGCGCGTCAAGCTGACCTGGGCGACCTGCCGAACTAGGATCTCCTGGCAGTGAACAAGATCTGCTGTGCTGGAATTCTCCTGAGAAGCCAGGGGATAGTAGTACACGTACGAAGCGGATTAAAAGCTGCTTTAATCACCGCATTAGAAGTTGTGTCAGGCACACCAAGAACATGTACAAATGGCAAAGGAAAAGTTACTTTCCTGCCCGGTCATTAAGCTTCTAATTGTAAGTTAAGAAATGTGAAAGCCACCACTCCACAGCTGGTTTTATCTCACCTTACTCTCACCAAACAAAATTATCTCACCAAACATAATTATTATTCATGCATGGTGCATGGTGCGGTTTACTGGGCGTGCATGGGGGTTCACTACATATACATGCGTTGTAGACAGTTCCTCTCCTAACTGTGGCGTCAGTCTACGACACATGCACTTTACGAAGCAATCTTGGAACGGTCGTCTCAGCTTAATGAAACGTTAGCGGTACACGTAAATGTTATTTAGGAGGAGGCTTAATCGAGATTTACTCATGGGGTGCAAAATTTGCACCCCCACTCTGAGTGGTTCTGTAAATCTGTCCCCCGGCAAAACTGTCCGGTGGGGGGGGGGCCAGAATTAGGAAGAAGTGTCTCCCCTGCCAGTGGCCCAGTAAATCAGCCTCCCTCCAGGTTATGTTCTGTCCCATCCAGGTAGTTTTGTCCCCCTCGTTTTGCTACACAGAAGTTGTTATATTCGTGTTAGTTTGATGAATTCAGTCCACATGAAATACAGTTAGATTCTTTCAGCCCTGGGGCAGGGGCATGAGATGTAAAATCAGCCGAACGTTTCTTCAAGGCAGCAACTCGTATTCTGCAGATATCTCTCGCGCGAAAAGTAATTCTCAGTCGCGGCGCAGCGTGCTCGATAGCTAACATGACTGAGTTGTACAGCAGAAGAAAAACGACCACTCGAATGGCTACGTTATAGAGAAGGGCACTTGGGTACAAGCAGGCGTAAGTCAGGTACATCTGAGAAAAAACACCCGCGCCCATCTGTACTCCGCATGATACGCGCCAACAGTCTTAAGCAAATTGACTTGATTTCCAAGTGTTCCAACATGTACTAGTGCGCAAAAGATGAGCCATCGTGAGTGCGTACAACTAGAATGTAAGTAGAAAGGACTGCGGACTGCATGGGGGGCTGAGGCCCGGCAATACACCCATTGGTATACAGGCATAGACCTGGAGGAGAGAAAAAAACAAGCTCCAGGCCTATGGCACAGGTAAAATCTCATCAAAACAAGGGGGAAATGGAGCTTCAGAAATGTGCTGTCAATGTTTTACTTGTGCAAACATCCTTTTGTTTTCATTGCGGTTTAAGAAGGGAGGACCGTAACCCAATTAACGGCTGCTACTTCACTGTCCTTGCTTCTCCGTACTACAAATAATCTGTGAAAGATCCAAAGGGAACAAAAGGGAATCACTCTGTTTCTTCACCATCACTGTGAAGAGTAAGTGTAAATATTTTCAGTTTTCTTTATCCTTGCTACAAATGGTCATTGCTTTTCGAAGAAATGGCCATGTTAAAAAAATGTCAGCTATTATTGTGAGTAGCTCCTCTTCTTTTAAAACTGCAGAAACAGCGCCTTTTCAAATTTCAAGCTGGATAATGAATGTTTAAATTAATATGTACTTATTTAATGTGCAGTAAGACCAAGTATCCAAGTACACATTATATTCTGAGACTACTGATAAAGAGATATAGTTAAAGTAATTATAAAATAATTATAAAGTAAACAATTATGACTCTTTGGACGCTATAGACTTTAACATGACGCCAGTA